CGGATCTAGAATGTTGTAGTAAGTCGGTCCGCCTTGACCAACTGGAAATCCATGAATCGCCTCTTTCAAGGCGTTATGGAATATGTCCACGAAAGCTTCGTTATGGCTTGATATGGCGTCATGAATAGATTTGTTCACAACTTTTTTAAAGAAATGCATGTCTTCAGCTTCAACTGTGTCCGTCTGCCCATGTAACAGAACTCTTGGTAGTGGAAATTTCTGAACAATTGTGTTGTCAGGTGTTTTGGTGTAGGACAATAAACATTTGTTCTAAAACTCTTCTATAGCTTTGCTGATGATACCCTTATCTCTATCAGGTAGATCTTCATAATGAAGCATAAGGATGTCGTCGTTGTTGTGAACCGCCATGACGATTGTGGGGTCCCACCGAGCGTGCCAGAAACATGTGTTGACACAGAATTTTTGTCCCATGTCGAGGACACACGCAGCAAGCCGGAAGGGTCCGCTCGATGGAGCAGATCCGCCTAGCTTCAGCGCAAGGGTGATCGATCTTGCACACTCCTTCCGAGACGTGCCAGTCAATTTGACCCTGTAATTGACAAGGAGAAAAAGCTCATGAGTAATTAAGGGCGGAATTTGCCGGTGTTGCCAGACAGTCCCGAATGTGCGGCTATGAGAGCCGATATGAAAGGAGATCGACTAAATAGTCGATTCCAGCATATTCATGAGAATAAATCAATTAAAGCTCATTGGGTTTTATAAGAAGAATCGGTTATCATTCAGGACAAATATCATTGATCGAACAAATATTAATCAATGGCAATAAGATGTCAACAATGATCGATTTATGCTGAGCCAATGATTATAAGTAACCGAATCCCTTTTTATATAAAGAAACAATTCAACATCACTTAACCGTTTAATAAAGATAAATCTAATGAACATGTTAGATCTCATCCATCACTATGACCAGTGGGGCATGAGGCAGAATCATGCAGGCCGTAGAAATAACAATAGACTCGACGACCCTAACTCATTACTAATATCAGTGCGGCATGAGGCAGAATCATGTAGGCCGTAATACAATAATAAGATCATGGAGCTAACATATCTTTCAACCTATCTTTACTTCAACGGTCTCGTGATGCGAACTGTTCGTGAAAGCACTCGATATCGGCTAAAACAGTCGATTCAGGCATAGCACATAGTTAAAGTCATGTCTTATCAGGAATAGATCTACCAGATAACGGTCCCCACTCCACGGTGCTAACAGTGGGGTGTGAGGCAGAATCACACAGGCCGTGATAACGGGCCATGGAACGGTTCTCGCTAGCCAATAAATCTACTCAAGCCGCAACACGCCTTAACTGCACGCTATGCACGATCAAGATTGATGTAAAACAGCCGATAAAACATAACTCATCGTTTAAGGTGTAGATTAGATCAGTTTTAGATTAGCAAACGATGGATCAAATAAGATATAAGGCCGATCTAAATCAATTTCAATCGGGAAGAGTGATATTGCTGTAATTAGATAAATAATGAAAGCAATAAGCAATATCGGTAACTTAATGAATCTACCAAAGACTGTCATTCTAAGGTAGAGCCAATAACTTGACCTTGATTTAATTCAAGCAGTGGGGTATGAGACAGAATCACACAGGCCATACTTGAATTAAACAAGAGTCGATAACTAGCTTATACCAGAGTCGCAGTGGGGGTCGACCGGATCGATGCAGCCATACGAACAACCATGATGGTACTTACAACAAGCAGTGGAGGTCGACCAGATCGATGCAGCCATACTTGCTGAAGAACTCGCCGAGATCTACTCTACTCCTACTCTTAAGGGTGGTCGGAGCCGAAAAAGTAATTGACTTGTATTTGATTGATTGGTTGTCTTTTACAATAGCCGGGGTTTGGTATTTATACCCGGGACCTGCGCACGACTCCTATCTAAGCACGACTCATCACAAATTTTGACTCTAAAGAAAACATTCCTAATTTAAAATAACTTAGACTCTAATCTTTCCCTTTTCATAGAGTCCTACATGTTTCGTCCTGGCGCCGAATCGTAGCCTTCGTCGTTATCCGCTGGCGATATGCGGAGAAAGTCGATTCCAGTTTTTGGCATCCGAATCAGCTGGTTCCTATCTGCACGCAATTGATTCCTTGACGACATGATTTTGGGAGCTTTCTTGTCCCTGCAACTCTTCTTCCAAATTTTGGTGTAAACATGTTCAAATGAAGTACACATGCATGTATGAGTGATAAATATATGTGTTATGTTTTAGTGATCACGAAAAAATGTTTCCTTAACACCTCATATACTGAATTTTTGCAAGCATGGACCAAATCTCTGGCACTCTAGCTGGTATCTGCGATGTGATTGAGTGAAGTACACCCATTGTATTTTTGCAAGAAAAATAACACACATTGTATTTCTGATTAGCAGGGTGTGATCAGCAGAGAAATGCTGGATTCATTTTACACTAGAAAGACGCGCGGCGTTGCCGCGCTCTTCGGTGAAGGGCCAGCTTGTATCTGTAAGCTCTGATCTGTGTAAGCTCTGATCTGGTTTATCCTGAGCCTGTCACTTTTCAGTCATATACTATTCAAGATTGAAACATGTCAACATATTCATAATTGCAATCTGTACCAAGTTAGCAACCTCCTGTTTCATTAATATTTTTTTTGTTAGGAATAAGGATAAAATCCTGGTAACATTAGCGCATAAGCTATAAAATGAGGTTTGCAAATGTTGAGAATTGACAGTTTTCATTAGTGATGATGCCAGGAATACTACTCTTTTAAGGTTATCCTGTTAGGATATTACATAAGTAGTTTTAAATTAGAGCAAAGGAACTATGATGAGAGTAGAATTGTATATTTGTTGCAATAGGGTGTACACTTACTGGTGTTAGTCCCAGGCTGCTACTTAAACTATGCAAAAAAAAGAATTTCAGGACCATTTCCTGCATACGCCTTATCCTATAATAGGTTGACACAACCTGATAAACAGGCTGTTTCTACGACCTAAAATAGCATCATTTGATATTTCTGTTTGGACACGTGGATAATGTCTATGATATACTGATTTGCCTCCATGTAACCCTAAGAGATCAAAAACCGATATCTCACCTGTACACTCTTGAACGATCATCTTCCTTGATCTCATTACAATACTGTGTTAAAGCATTTCTCTTGGATCCTCTGCTTGCCTCTGCCATCCTACAGCGAAACCTACTCATCACTTAATCTTCATATGAAGTTGCATTGCAAGAATTACTAACAAGACATGATTCACTTATGGAAACAATCACTTGACAATATTGTTTGTCTGGAAGTGCCATGCCCATGGAATGAACTGCAATAGATATATTAAGCCATTAATTTGATTGAGGAAGTTTTTTGAAGCAATACAAAGATGCGAACCTTTGGTTTTGGGTGCTTACTGACAGATGGAATAGGAGCAGACCTTGTGTAAAATATTCTTCCCGGTAACAGCAACCTCAGCTTGCTGGCATTTCGCCAAGCACCTTGCGTGCGCTCTCATGACTGTTCTCCTACACATTACTGTTGACATGGAACGATTCAGCTGCACGAAATAGCAGTGGAGGCAGAGCACACGGGGAGACTGGACGGGCTCACCTGCTGGAGGATGTTGATGCCTCGTGAGCAGACTGGACAAGCTTTTCCATATGCCCTCAGGTCGTCCGCACGGGCCGCGCCGCCTTGCTGATAGCTGGCAACTGCGCTTGTGGTCCGCACCTCCGCTGCCTCGTCCGGCTGCCCTGGGACGACGCCCATGCGAGCCGTGCTCGGCTTGACAGCGCGGGTCGCGCCGCCTCGCTGGTGGCTGGCGCCTGCGCTGCCACGGCGGCGGCCGCGCTTGTGCGCGGTAGGTTGCGCCCTTGCCGTGGCCCATGCATCACGGGCGAGGAGGCGTGCTTACCGGTTCTTCCTCCCCAAGAACCCCGGCAAGGTGCCGCCGCCACCGGCCATCACCTCTGCCTTGCTCAGCCGCTCCGTCCTTCTTCCGAGAAGCCCGCCAGGCACCCGGCCGGGGAACGGGAGGAGGTGAAGTGGATCTGAGGAAGGAAGCCAACGGCGAGGCAGCTGGGCGCGACATCCGGGGGCACGACGGCCGGTGGGGAGATGGAGGCGGCGCGGCGTTTTTCTTTTCACGGGAGCTGGAGGAGGGGAAGAGACTGAGGGTTGATTTCGGTAAAGTTCGAGGGCTTTTTTGAAAACAAAACTGAGAGGAGGCCTGGACTGCGAGTTGATTCAACTAAAGTTCGAGGGTTTTTTTGAAAAAAATACCGCGGCTCGCCCGATCTGGGCCGTCCGCGCGCCCGATCGAACGGCCGGGAAAAGCAGGCGACGTGGCACGCTCGCCGGCCAGCTTTTGGAGGCAGGATTCATATAAGAAGATACCACTGTATGGGGGCCTTCAGACAAGTAGCTAATAGAGATCATACAAGATGAAGGGTCCTTCGAGGTCAACAACATTCAGGTGCACGAACTCACGAGTGGTATAGACAAAAGCCTGCAGACCCCAAAGGTCAGGGCACTCGCAGCGAGGGCTGCATTCGAGCCAACAATCATCCAGCATTTTGGACGTTCGGAAGGAGTTATGGATGAGTTCGTCAGAACCATCGAGCACCAACTCACCCTGAGGAGCCCAGACAACTTGCTTTTGTTATGTGTTTCCCTAACAAAAAGGGAATAGAACAATTCTCTTTGTGCAATTGAACTGGCAATGAAGTTGTTTTTACTCATAAACAAGCAATAGTAAAGAGCTTAACTTCATGGAAGTTGGAAGCTACCTTAAAATATGTAGCTCCATCCATGAGAGCTCCCCCCTACAATGCTTAAAAATTAGCTTATTAAGAATGTTTACATATATCGAATTAAATTATCATATGTATATGGAATTTATTGCCGTCGATGAGCAACCAGCAGTTTTGGTCACTTGATCGGCGATTAGTCAGTAACTGAATGTCTGAATTGCTTCCGCTTCCTTCCCTGACGCCACTTCAGCAGTCGAGACTGGAGAAGTTCCAGAGCGCAATGCCGCCATCGTCCTCCCAGCAGGCGTCGTCGTCGGTCGCCATCGACGCCGGCGGCGCGAAGAAGGCGCTGCTGGGGTCCATGAGGGCGTAGTCCATGCACTTGGGCGACTGGAAGAAGGCGTCGATGTCCGCGAGCGAGCTGTAGTCCACCACGTCGCCGTCGCCGTCGCCGTCGCCGTAGTGGGCCAGCTCGCCCTCGCTGCTGACGGTCGACTCCGGGGATGAGACGTCGTCGCTGGCGGGCGAGCTGCTGCTCCACGCCGCTGTGGCGCCGCCGTCGGTACAGGCGCTGCCATTGTTATTGTCAGCGCAGGGCGCGAATGGCGTGGCGCAGGAGGAGGCGCTGCTGGCCGCGGCGGCGGCGGCGGCGACGCGCTGGATGGCCTTGGGCGACATGGCGCCGGCGGGTGGCAGGTCGAACGGGAGGCGGAGCGGGAAGTTGAGGTCGGCCGCGGCCGCCGAGCCCTTGAGGCAGAGCAGCGCGGCGTCGTAGGCGCGCGCCGCGGCGTCGGCGGTGGAGTGGGATCCGAGCCATATCCGCGTCTTCTGGCCCGGCGCCCGCACCTCCGACACCCACGAGCCCCAGCTCCGCATCCGCACGCCCTTGTACGTCCTCTGCTTGGCACCGCCGCCGTGCCTCGCCGCGGCGTCATTGCTGCTCGCCGCCGTCTTCACCATGATGGCTGATGAAGTAGCTCGATCTCCGGCTTCGTTCTTCCCAGACGACGCTTGCTTGGTTTCTTGTTTCCTTGGACACGATCGACGGACGGCGATGGTTTGCGACGCAGGGTTCTTCGTGTACTATGAATGTGTGGTACCAGCTGGATCAGCGAGTGATGTTGCTGCTTGTCTGTCTGCCTGGGGAAACTTTGGCGATTTTATAGGATGGCATGCGGCAACTGTGCTAATGTGAATGTGAGCGTCTTGCGCATTAGTTTTTGCATTTGTTTGGTGGTTGAACATTTGAATACCTTTCCTGTTCATATCAGAGCGATACGGTGTGCGTGACGGGACAAATAGTGCTAGGACTAGCACATCAGCTTGGGTCAGCCGTACAGCTGCCAGTGATGCAGAGGCGAACGAGGAAGCATCCTGCATTCCATCCCGCATCCCGTCAGGTTAACTGTGCTCTGTGCAGTCAGTGGTAGTATAAACAAAGCCCGTGGATTTTGGTAAGCGAGGATCTTGCGTGATGTTCTACGACTTGCACCTACAGCTGTCGTACGAATTGGCAAAACCCAACTCGATCGGTCAGCGATGCTCGCCTGAGACCTTTACTCCGATCCTGACGGCTAAAATGGCTTACAATTCACAGCCGCGGACATGGTAAATGGCTTGAGATTCAAGCTTGGATTTCACTGGATAGGCTGCTGGACTTATTATTGCGAGCGAACTTGGGTCAGTGACTGGCATGTGACTTTTGAGAGTGACAGGTAAATCCAGTCAATTAATTGGAGCTTAGCCATTCATCTAGAACTAGTAACAGGTAAGTGGAGTGCTTTCGCTTGGCTGATAAGCCATACTGAAAGTACTGTTAACTTATTTGTTATGAGACAAAAATATTATTCGTTTCGAAAAATACGGCTTATAAGCCAAGTAAAAGGACGAACGCTGGCTGGTTGGTTGGTTGGTTCGTTCGTTAATCTTGCATGCGACTGAACCTAACCCTACATGTGATGTGTAGTAGTAATTTGTTGGTCGTTTCCAGCTGGAAGTGGAAACTTTAACACTAACCTGCCGACGAGTTGACTGCGCACACTAGATCTTGACAAGTAGACATGTGTGTGCCTGCCTGCCTCTCGATGAAATGACGGCCACATGGCCGTGGCAACTTTTTCCCACGGCGGCACGAGACGAGGCTGCTGCTGCGTCTGCATGATTATGAATATGAGCAGCAGTGGGAATTCACACTTGGCGCGCGGCACACACACCCTACCAACTGCATTACGGGCATACGGCATAGATTAGTACTACTAGATTACTGTACCACCACACCACAATGCTGGTACGATTACGATGACTAGAAGGGGGAACATGCGTCGGAGTCGGAGGCTTATCTTTGTTTATTGGGCCTGGCAGCTTCGCGGACTTTGGGGGCCGCGGTGGGGACGCCAGCCGGACGTACGTAGGCGATGAGACGGCGACATGAGATGGAGGAGATCAACTAGTGCCTAGACGTGCGGCGGCGTACGGCGTCAGCCGTGTGCCGGGCGGTGTCTGTCGCGGGCAGAGGCAGCTGGAGCTTAGCTGCACTGGACTGCAACTTGCAGCGATCGACTGCCTGCCAGTGCCAAGGAGGTAGTTGGGGTTGGATTGGGTGGGCCGCCCCCGCCACAAACCGCGTTGCGCGCTCATCATGCTCTCCGTTCTGCAGTTAGCCGGGGTAGGGATTAGGGAAGCTAATTAACGAGCGTGGCCATTGGGCACCACTTCTAATGAAGATGGTGTTGTTAATTCCTCAAACTGAGCTGCCACTGCATGCCGACGACGATAGTTAGCAGGGAGGACGTACAGTACTCCATTGCTTGTACGTTTTGCGCTCATCGTCCTTCCTTACATATATGCTCACATGACATGCAGGAACATGGATTGGATCTTTTCCAAGTGGATGCATGTTGGCGAGACTGGTGTGTCATGCATGATGCATGCACAGCCCAGCCAGCCATATGCTCCAGATTTTATTAATTAATATTAAGAAAAAAGCTCACCTGCATTAAGGACGGAGCATATATAATTAATAATAGCAAATCAGCTCCCGGGTCCGGGTTGCGTCTCGGGCTGGCCCATGCTCACGCGGTTTAACAGCCTAGCTCGCTGAAATCAACCTCGGCAGATGATATCATGATGCGACTCATGACATGACACACCAATCAGGCAATGATAGATACAGTAGGAGTACTCTCTCTTTCTTCTCCCTCCGTTTCCGTTCGTCAAAGAGAGCCGAGGAAATCGACAGCAGCGCGAGAATAGTTAATCCATCTTCTTGCGTCAGTATCTTTCGGCCCGTCGTCAGCGTGTGGGAGAGCTGGAAGCCATCGGGCCGCGACAGGGGGGATGGGCAGGAGCATGCCCGGAAGCTTCATGCCACGAGCAGGGCCACGGTTCGTTCTTCTTCATGTTATCGCCCCTGTTCGGCTGGGCTGAAACGATCGTATAGGATCGTGGATTATTACTGTTGACTGGTTTGATGTGAGAAAAAAATACTGTTCTGACTGAAAATTTACGATCGTTTACGACCAAGCGAACAAGCCGATCATCAAAAGGAGAATAAACGAAAAAACAAACAAAAAGGCTTGTTTTTATTTCCTTTCGGGAAAAGTTTTTCTAGTACATGTGCTTAGGGTACTGGTGTTGTTTGTCATGATCCCACTTTATCGGTTTTGATTGATTCTCCATACAAAAGAGCTCTCGATTCGCCCCAAAAATGCACGAGCCTTGTCTCACTTTGCGCCGGACTGTCACGCTGGTCTGACGCGCTCGTCAGCCAAGACAAGCTGGGGCTGTGCCGCTGTGGTGTGAACCCTGACCAAGGAAGGAACGATCTTGCTGTCCGCTTCAAACAGCGGTTCCAGTTACAACTCACGCCCACAGATCTGTGCGTCGAAGTTCAGTTTTTAGCGTGGCTTTGGACCTTTCCTGCACACGCTCTGTTTTCCTACTACGCAACCGCATCCATATCTAAAGACAAGCAGCGTGTTCATTTGGTTGGTCTTTGTCTTGATTTGAAATTTGGTGGTCTTTGGTTTTGAGAGAAAAACACTTTGTTGGCTAGTTGAATAAGTCCTACCGAAACCAAACAACAGGTGAAGAAAAGCGAAAAGTAGCGGCCACCCAAGCGTGCCATGTAAATCACGCTTTTCATCGTTCGATCGTCAGCAGCGGACGGCCCAGATCAGGCGAGCAGCGGTCATTTTTCAAAAAACTCTTCTTTTTCCGGAAATCGTGCGCTCAGAGTCCCTCTCAGGATATTTTGCAAAAAATATCTCAGATTATTTTGAAATCAACCCGCGGTCCAGAACGGATGGCCTCCGGGGTTTTTTTCAAAAAAACCCCTTGTTTTTGTCGAAAATCAACCCGCGCTCCACAAACCCTCTCATCATTTTTTACGAAAACCTTCTCGGATTTTTCTCAAATCAACATACAGGCTAACTTTGATTATATCTTTTTTTCCCTAAAAAACGTGTGGCCAGTGGCCCGCGCGCATGGGCACGCCCGAAGGACTAGTGAATATGATGCAGTGGAACTCCATTCCACAACCTCGTCGTCTCCTCAAAAAAAAAAAGCATGTCCTCTAATAATTGCGGCTCAACTTAAAATTGGAATGTAAAGTTATTCATTCACTCTCTTTGATTATTTGCTTTTGCATGAGGGCAGTGCACATGGGGGGCAGAAGAAGGGTGGCACAAAGCCACGGTACAACAGTCTTGGCCGTGCCTGTTACGCTTACGCATCATCAGCAATCAAAGCTGCCGACATGGGTAGATCAGTCACGCAGATGAACACAGAGATATAATTGTCCTCCTGACACCAATGTCGTTTATTTACGAGGCATGGACGGTAGTACGAGAGATACGACTTGCATTGGGGCGACAGGCCTCAACTCAACATGCCCGCTATTAGTTGAGAACTCCATCTAATGTCCTCTCGATGACGAAAGTGTCCCAAAAACATTTCCCCGACTGTTTCCGTCAGGCGTTGGCAACTGATGTTTCGGACCAGTGTCGGCTCTTGCTGCAAACCAATACGGCACTCACCACTAAGCCGCGCTTCCACTCTGAAGTTTGAAGTGTTCCATACAATCGTTTGGACTGCATGTTCGGAAACCTGATCTAACAACTGCAGCGCTGGTCTGGAACACACCTTTTATTTTAGAACGTCTGCGACACACACATTGGAGAGATCAAGCAACAAGGCCGAACACCAGCTTATTACACAACACAGCTGTTCAGTCTTCCCACAACGAACGGCATTCGCCCACTCTGCCCCAACACACGGCGACATCAGAGCACTGGTGGCTTGGCATCCGTGGAAACAGCGTAACAAAAAGGCACAGTTCTCTTGGGCACAGCTCTCTTGCGTTTTGGAGAAGAAAAAAGTGTCCCATGTGGGGAGAAATTATTCCAACACCCGGTTTGCTCCAGCACACGGGCGAAACCGATACAACCTCCAAATAAGAAAATATCAACAGAGACAGGAGGTTTGGAATACAGTATATACAGTTCACAACCCCTACGCCATACATACAGTTCTTTCATCTTTGCCTATCATCCATATCACCATATTTTACAGATCCTGATGGCTTCGGAATGTTTCTTTTGGCATGTTTGTGACTGAGCCAATTATTACAAATCTGTAGTCCATAGCTTCGATGCTCTTACCTTCATTCAGTAAATGAGATGGGAATCCAACAATGCTACACATCATGCAACAGCACTTTCCTTTTACGAATCAGCCTTGGAACGAGCTTACTGCTCTAATAACATGTTTGTACACTTCGATGCCCCTCAGGAATACTTTATCTTCCAGAAACTGCAGCATTTAAATAAACATTGATTTTTGAGCATCACATTCTGGAACAAGGAAAGGAAAGCGGTAGCAGCCTGGTTTCAGTTACCTCGTTATGGTCGTGTAGTAATATTGGAGTATTTGTCATCGGAGAAAACCCGAGGGCAGGGATG